TCCCTACTCGCAGTCTCCACCCCCTTTCAGTGCTGTCACCTAATCCCTGGCTGCAGTCTTGTTTTACTTTTGTCATTATCTGCCTGCCAAGGCCTCCAGGAAGTAAGGCTCATTAGTCTTTTATTCAAGTCTCTCCTTATTGGCCTCAGTTTACTTTTTCCAGTCTTATCAGTAAAGATCTCCACCATACTAACGATACTCATTGGTCTTCTGATCTATACTGTTTGCTCCTTTATTTTTATATCTTCGCCTGATAACAGTGCCTGGTTCTTGGAAGGTACTTGATAAGTCTTTCCCCAGTGAAGGGACAGTTTCCAAAACAAACCTTGTACTTTCTTTCTGCTGCATTATTTTTCTTTCTGATTTCCTTATGCTTGAAGTTCCACTTCCTCTATGTAACTGTCCATGACTGCTTTAGCTCTAACTTTTTCATCCTCCTCCATATTCCTAGAGCTCATCTGAAACCCAAGTGATAGAGTCTTAAAACTGTGGTTGTTCATCTGAAGTCAGGGTGGGGTTATGAGTAGCAGGAGCTGTTTCCTTAGCAGGGGCACCTGTGTTGGCAGATGTTGAGATTTGGCCTGCCTGACAGGGATTCTGGTTATTTGAAAAGAAATCAGGGTACTTTTAGTTTGTACACCAACATGAATTCCAGAGTTAGAGTTAGATTTTTATAAATTAACAGAGGTAAAATTAATAAATACATAATTGATAATGGGTAAGGAACAACTTAGATAATATGATAAGTGAAAAAATAATGAAAAAACAGATTTGTATAAAAATTTAAAACTGAAAATATTTACAAACATGTCAAAGAGTTGATGTTCTTAATATAAAAAGAACTCATAAATCAATAAGGAACATGAAAAATTGTTAGAGGATATGAATAAGAAAATCATAGAAGAAACATAAGCAGTCAGTTTTATAATTAAATGTTTAATCTTACCAGCAATGAAAAGAAAATAAACATCATTTAGGCAATGGATGCCATCAAATTAGCAAAATTTAAAAAGAAATTCTAAATGATGGCAAGCATAAGAAGCATTTTCATATGCTTCTGGCAGAAATCTAACTTGGTGCATAACCTTTGCAGAAAGCGCTTTGGTAATATTTGAAAGCTTTCATTTTTTTTTATGTTTTCACCTATTAACTTCATTCCTAGGAACTGTTCTAAAGCTATTAATTAGGGAAATAAAGTATTTGCATAATGTTCATCATTGATCACAGTATTGTTTATAATAGAGAAAAATTGGAAATCACTTAAATGTCTAAGAGTGAGGAAGTGCTTCCTTAAGTGGAAAGTTAGCCATGAAGTTATAATTTTGGAGAATAATTTAAAGATGTGAGAAAATACAAAATGGTATAAGAAAAATTAACCTATAGTGTTGTGTTTGCAATATTGCAGTTGGATATGCACACAGACATATGTGAAATGTAGCAAAATAATATTATCTCTGGGTGGTGGGATGGAAGTGATAAAATATTTTTTCCAATTTTATACAGTATTTATAATAAGAATGCATGTTATTTAAAATGTAAATATTGTCTTACTGATTAGTTCCATATATAAATTCTGAGGGAGGTGCTGTAGTTGGATGGTTAAGAGCACAGGCCATGAGTCATGCAGACCTGGCTTTGAATTGCAGCTCTGCCCTTGATCCATTGTATGACATGGCCACTTTACTTTTCTAAGGCTCTGTTTCCTCATCTGTGAATTGGGACTCCTAATACCTAACTCATAGAATTGTTAGGGTTAGAAATGATAATGTGTATAACAGCCTTTAAAAAAATTAATTCCCTATTTTACTTTAATTCTTGAAATAAAAACAGAAGTTAACTTTTTTTTGCCTCCCATTGAATGTATCATTAACAACAGAGATGTTCAAGATACAATAGTCAAAACTCAAATGAATTTGAAGACTAAACTTAAGTCTTCTGTAATTACCCACATGTGTTACAGATTGATTATACGTTTCATTAAAATAGAATTTAAATGGTAATAACTAAAATGTAATTTTAATTTTCTGCTAAGAGAAATGCTGTTTTCATTCTTGCTAATTTTTTCGTGCTATTGAACCACCACTAATGTTACCTTTATCTCCATGGACATAACAGCCTTTTGTAGCCTGGGTTCCACAACAGAATTATGCCCTAATGTCCTCAGGCAACCTTTGTATGTAATGAATTAGCTTCTCTTCTGTGTGTCTAGAATGGTACAAATTATGTACCATCCTTGGGAGAATTGAGAAAACAGTCATCCAAATCATTGTCTTGTTCTGTGGTTCAGAAGAGGAACCTTGATTGGATGCCTGGCACATATTAGGCACTCAATATAAATGGAAGCAATTCCTATTGTTTTTTCCATAGAAGTCACATAAAAGAGCACTTGCTTTCTGAGTTTCTTTGCTTGGTGTTAGCTTCTTTGGGAAAGGGTATTTTCCAGAGTGTGATTCAGTAAGTGCACATCTCTGTGGTGGTTTCTCAGGCCTTGTCTTTGGATCTGGGACTGGCCATGGCGACAGCACCTTGGATAACTCCTCTTGTTTGCCCTCTTGTAGTGTACCAGCCTCCTTCCTCCACTGCAGGGCGCCAGAGTACTGCCTCCCATCTGAGTAGAGTTTTAGAATTTCAGTTATCTCCCCATAACTGTTCGTATATTAGAAGGCTTATTCAGGTCGGAATTAATACTTGTCCACAAAGTGCTCGATAGTAATGTATTCAGTTCTGGGCGTTGAAAACTGCTCTTTTGGAAAGCTGACCATTTTTTAATATACTGCTAAATATACCGTTTTTTTTTTTAATCGTCTTGTGACATTCCTGTGACATTTCTTTTTAAAATTTTTATACAATTTAAAAAGTTACTTTGCATTTAAAGTTATTAGAAAATATTGGCTATATTCACCATGTTGTAAAATACATCCTTGAGTCTATTTTACACCCAACAGTTTGTACCTCCCACTCCCTCACCCTTATGTTGCCCCTCCTCCCTTCCCTCTCCTCACTGGTAACCAGTAGTTTGTTCTCTATAAAGGTACTGTTTTAATATGTTTTCTGATGAATATTTTTTCACGATTGCTTCTTATTTTATTTTAGCTACTGATCTACTTCTTGCCTGGAATCCCATTTGTCTGGGGTTGGTAGAAGGTGTTATTGGCAAAATTCAGCTTCACTCAGGTATGTTTCTGTAAACTCCTTAAACTTGTCAAATTTAATGTGACATTCTATGACATTTTCTTCTTTGAGGATAAATGTAGATTCTGTAGTGGCTTTGAATCCTTTACCTTAATTTTGGGTCTGCCCAAAGTGGGTATATTTCCGTATAAGTGAAACAAAAATACAAGCATACCTCATTTTATTGTCCTTTGCAGATATTGCGTTTTTTTTTTTTTACAAATTGAAGGTTTATGGCAACCTGGTGTCAAACAAATATATTGGTGCCTTTTTTCCAGCAGCATTTGCTCACTTCATGTCTCTGTGTCACATTTAGGTAATTCTTGCAATATTTCAAACTTTATATTTGTTATGGTGATCTGTGATAAGTGATCTTTGTTACTACTACAACTCACTGAAGGCTCAGATGATGGTTAACAGTTTTTAGCAAGAAAGTATTTTGTTGTTGTTTTTTGCTTGTTTGTTTGTTTTGGCTGTGCCATGCGGCATGTGGTACCTTAGTTCCCCCACCAGGGATCAAACCTGCACCCCCTGCAGTGGAAGCATAGAGTCTTAACCGCTGGACTGCCAGGGAAATCCCAATAAAGTATTTTTTTAAATTGAAGTGTAGTTGATTTACAGTGTTGTGTTACTTTCTGGTGTACAGCAAAGTGATTCAGTTATACATGTATGTATTTATTCTTTTTCATATTCTTTTCCATTGTGGTTTATTACAGGATATTGAATATAGTTCTCTGTGCTATACAGTAGGACCTTGTTGATTATCTATTTTATATATAGTAGTTTGTATCTGCTAATCCCAAACTCCAAACTCACAATTCATTCCTTCCCCCCCCCACCATCTTTCCCTTTGGTAACCATAAGTTTGTTTTCTATGTCTGTGAGTCTTTTTCTGTTTCATAAATAAGTTCTTTTTTTTTTTTTTCGGCCACGCCATGCAACTTGCAGGATCTTAGTTCTCTGACCAGGGATTGAACCTGGGCCCTGGCAGTGAAAGCAACGAGTCCTAACCACGGGACCGCCAGGGAATTCCCTTGTGTCATATTTTAGATTCCACATATAAGTGATATCATATGGTATTTGTCTTTCTCTTTCTGACTTACTTCACTTAGTATGATAATCTCTAGGTCCGTCCATGTTGCTGCAGATGGCATTATTTCATTCTTTTTTTACGGCTGAGTAATATTCCATTGTATTGATTTTTTTTTAAAAAAAAATATATAATCATATATGTATATATATATCACATCTTCTTTATCCATTCATCTGTTCATGGACATTTAGGTTGTTTCCATGTCTTGGTTATTGTAAATAGTGCTGCTATGAACATTGGGGTGCATGTATTTTTTCAAATTATAGTTTTCTCCAAATATATGCCAAGGAGTGGGATTGCTGGATTATGTGGCAACTCTATTTTTAGTTTTTTAGGGAACCTCCATACTGTTTTCCGTAGTGGCTGCACCAATTTACATTCCCACCAACAGCATAGGAGGGTTCCATTTTTTCCACACCCTCTCCAACATTTGTTATTTGTAGACTTTTTAATGATGGCCATTCTGACCAGTGTGAGGTGGTACCTCATTGTAGTTTTGATTTTCATTTCTCTAATAATTAGCGATGATGAGCATCTTTTCATGTATCTGTTGACCGTCTGTTTGTCTTCTTTGGAGAAATGTCTACTTAGGTCTTTTGCCCATTTTTTGATTGGGTTGTTTGTTCTTTTGTCATTGAGTTGTATGAGCTGTTTGTATATTTTGGAAATTAAGCGCTTGTCGGTCACATGGTTTGCAAAGATTTTCTCCTAGTCTGTAGATTGTCTGTTTGTTTGTTTATGGTTTCCTTTGCTGTGCAAAAGCTTATAGATTTGGATTAGGTCCCATTTGTTTCTTTTTGCTTTTATTTCTATTGCCTTGGGAGACTGAACTAAGAAAACATTGGTACTATTTATTTCAGAATGTTTTGCCTGTGTTCTCTTCTAGGAGTTTTATTGGTGTTATGTCTTATATTTAAGTCTTTAAGCCATTTTGAGTTTATTTTTGGGCATGGCGTGAGGGAGTGTTCTAACTTCAGCTTTCCCAACACCACTTGCTGAAGAGACTGTCTTTTCTCCACTGTATATTCAGCAAGAAAGGTTTTTTTTTTTTTTGTGGTATGCGGGCCTCTCACTGTTGTGGCCTCTCCCATTGTGGAGCACAGACTCCAGATGCGCAGGCTCAGCGGCCATGGCTCACGGGCCCAGCCTCTCCGTGGCATGTGGGATCTTCCCGGACCGGGGCACGAACTCGTGTCGCCTGCATCAGCAGGCGGACTCTCAACCACTGCACCACCAGGGAAGCCCAGAAAGTATTTTTAATTAAGGTATGTACATTTTTTAGACATAATGCCAGTCCACTTAATAGACTACAGTTTAGTGTAAACAACTGTACACTAGGAGACCAAAAAATTTTGTGTGACTCATTTTATTTGCTTTATTGCAGTGGTCTGGAACTGAATCCACAGTATCTCCAAGGGGTGCCCAAAAAGCTTTAGAGAAAGGGGGGCATAATATTAAAATCCTTTCTTCCTCTTAAAAAAAAACACCACAAGCTATTAAATGCCTGTTTTTAGGAATTGTGTCAGGAACTGTGCTGGTCTGTGGAATACAATAATGAGCAATAACTGACCTGTTCCCACCATGAGCAGAGCTTATGGTTTAAGAGGGAAGTTAGACATTAGTGAGTAATCATTGAAATAAATGTATAATTATTTGTGAATTGTGTTAGGTGCTCTGACAGAAAGATACACCAACCACACTGATTTTGAGGGAGAGGACAGTAAGAACAAGGCTGGAGAGGTAGGCAGGTGTCAGACCAGGACTGGTTGGCTTTGGGTTAGCTGTCCATTCCTAATATAGTCAACTCTGGCCAGGGAGGAGTATTGGTCTGTTAGTACACAGTGCAGTCCTTTCTGGGAGCTGTATCCAGGGCAGGCAAATTCATGGAAGGTCTAGATCATTCACTAAGCCCTCCCTTTGAAGGACAGGCACCTGTGCTGAGTTCAGAGGGAATTTTGTTTGTAAGAAGGTAGGTGTTACGTAGGCAGGTCCCAAAAAGTCATGAAAAGGACTGAATAAAATATTTTAAGCACTAAATTTAAATATCTGTTTTTCCTTTGGTAGTGATTTTTATGTGAGTTAAGAGCTATAGGAAGCTTTGCTGTTATTGCTGTGTTATTGGGAGTGTAGCTACCTCTGTAGTGTGCTTTTAAAAATGCTTTAAAAATAAAATTATTGAGCGTTTGGAAGCTAGGTTAATTTCTGGATGATATAAAGCACAAATTGCCAGAGACAGTCTAATTTTCTTTTGCTAGATTCTTGTGGTTATTTTCTAAAATGTGTTATCTATTTTGTAGGCACAAAAAGTTATTTATCACGGATATGCAGTATAGCTTGCTGAAAAACAAACACACATTTATCTACCACCTAGATTAAGGAATGAAACATGACGAATGTCTTTGGAGCCCTCACTGCCTTTCTCCAAGTATATCCTCTCCTGCCTTCTTCCCTTCAAGAGAGTCTGTGATTTTGAATATTGTACTTACTAGTCCCTTGATTTTCATTATTGCTGTTGTTACATATATATCCCTCGACAATATGTTGCTGAGCCTTGTGTTTGGGGAATTTTATATAAATGATATTAAGCTGTTTGTGTTCTTTCATTTCTCCTCTCCACTCCCACAACTTGATGCTTTGTGATTTATCCACGTTGATATAGGAAACTTTAGTTTCTTATTTTCACTATTGCATGAATATATCATAATTTGTCCTTTTTTCTGTCACTGGGTAATTTTTGTCATTGTTGTTTGTTTTTTTGCCATTAGAAATAATACCACTGTGAGCATTATTGTACGTTCTGTCTTTGGTAGTTTTAAAACTCTTTCAATACAAGGGAGAAAAGCATTAGACATTGTGTAACATGCTAAGTATTTTAGTCACACTCTCCTACCTGTCCACATTTACATACGTATATCTTTAATTCATTTATATGCTGACAGGATAATTTCACAGTTGAATGTTCTGAGCTAAAATTCATTTTCTATTGTTTAAGTGAAGCTTATGAAACTTTGGAGTTATTTTTCTCCAATTTCAGTTACATCTTGAAACAGTGAATAAATCACTGACATGAGTCAAGAGACCTGAATTCAGGCTGTATTTATTAGCTTTTAGATATAGGAGAAGTTACATAACATCTGTTTCATCTGTTGCTGTGTAACAAGCTGTCCCAAAAGTTAACGCCTTCAAACAACAACAACGTATAATAGCTCACGATTCTATGGGTCAGCGACGCGGCTCTTCTGCCCTTTTCTTCTGTTGGCTGGGGTCATCCATGTGGCAACATTCTGAGGGTTTGCCTGGGGGCATCTCAGTTTTCCTTCATGTGGCATCTCTGTCCACGTGTCTCATCTCACAAGGCCTCTCCTTGGGGCCTGTCTCTCTCCTGAATACCTTAGCATCCTTTCAGGGTACTAAGATGACAAGTTCCAATGTGTAAGGGCTTATCAAGCCTCTGCTTGTGTCACTGAGCTTGCTAATATCCCATTGGTCTAAGGAGGTTACACATCCAAACGTAGAACTAATGTGGGAAGGGGCTTCACAAGGGTTTCCATCCCAGGAGGCTGGTTCATTGGGGGCCACAATGCCCCAGAGCCTCTACTTTATAAACTGTAAAACAAGAGTAAAACTAACTGCCCAATTTTTTTTTTTTTTTTTTTTGTACGTGGGCCTCTCACTCTTGTGGCCTCTACCATTGCAGAGCACAGGCTCTAGAACCGCAGGCTCA